GGAGGATGCAGCCGAGGTTTCAAAACCTTCTGATTATGGTGATAAGGTTCTGGAGGAAATTAAGGACAATGATCTGAATCAGCAACACAAGCGCAGGAAGGAGTGAAAAATGGCTGCTGGTTATTTTGGTCATTTGCATTTTGGATTTTTATTTTGTTGTTAGGGTTAATGTTGTTGTAGTTTTTTGTTGCCAGCATAAGTTGCTAGTTCTGAACTCTGTCTGCGTTCTTCTTAAATTTCATCTTGTCTGTTTCGTGAGCTTTATGCGATATAAAATTGGTATTTCCTGTTACCCATATCTTATTATTATGCATTTTTGTTAAATGTTTTATAAACTGTGTTAGACAAGTTTAAATTTGATGTTGATTTCCTGAGTAAAATTAAAAAAACACAACGGTACAATACACTTGTAACTGAACCCCTTTGCCCTAATAAAGATACATTTTGTGAGGCACCACAAGGTAATTTATTTTATTACATTTTAAATATTGTGGTAAAATACATTTTCGAATAGACAATTTAGGACGGGTTCAAAATTAAGGTATTTGAAATGGTACTTTGATATCTTAAAATTGTTGAATTTAATTCAAGATTAAGGTATTTGAAATGGTACTTTGAACTTCTGCAAAAAAGTGGCTGCTTCTTCAAGAACTCGTGCACAAACTATTGCTGGGTTAGGCACACTCATCTTAATTCAAGATCCTTTTATGTATAAAATATATAATGAAATATATATATTTTTTTTACTTTTTTTAATTTACGTAATTTTATAACTATTATTTGTTTAACCCACATGTGATAGTATCTCTTTGAATCCACAGTTTAATTATTAAAGTAGAATTTAAAGTTACAATAAATTAGCAATTATTTACAATTATGTAGAATTATTTAGAATGATTTGTAGCAACTAGTTTTGTGAAATTCCTTATTGATAATAATTAACTTATAAATGTTGATCTGCAATTAACATTGGTCTATTTAAACAATTCGATCGATAGATGCACTTCAAATTTGAAGATGAATGACAGATCTTCAAATCTTTGTTATGGTGTACATAATTTCAATTAAAAGATTGATGACAGAATTTACATTCGAAGACAATCTAAAGCAAACATGTGTTTTATTTTACCATGTTATTTTATTTTTGTTTCATGAACTTTTTTTATTTGGAAAACTGAAATTACTTTGAAAATATTGTTTAATTTTAGTTGATTATATATTTGTAGAATCAGAATTTATGTTTTATTAATGATATTCAAGTGGACGATTTACTTAAATCTATGGGCCATGAATTAGTTACATTTTTGTTTTATAGTGTATATGTGAATTTAATGTGTATTTTCAAATTTTCATATATTTCTTTTAAAATTAGAATGTTAAAAAAAATTGCACGTCTTGTAGTTAATTATTTAAATAAATTAAAAATAATAATTGAACTTCAATTTTTTAAATAATTACTTCACAATTAGTCATAATTTAATTTTAATTCATATTTATTTTTATTAAATTTTAATAACCCTTAATTTGTTCAGAGTATTTATTTACAACTTTTTATTAAAAAGTAAAATTTAAATCTAATTCAATTTTATCAAATCAATTTAAATGAAATTTATACTATTTTTATATATTATAAATCATCTTTTCTTTAGTTGAAATAAAACTTTTAATATTTAATGAAAATTTTATCTTCTATAAATTAAGAATTATTTATTGTTTTTGGTAGATAATATTGAAATTTGAGAGTTAAATACGTACTCACAATGTTAATTTTTTTTTTATATTTCTCACTGAAGTTTTCCACACTGGCGATGATTGGAAGATGAAAAAAAGTATATTCTTTTTTTATGATATTTTTAGTTTTTATTATTCTGAATTGACATAGAAATGTAAAGTGAATACTTTCTATTACTATTTTAAATATGTTTTTCATTGTTAAAATTTTAGTTAAGATTAGAATTAGTTTATTTTTAAAATTTTGATTTAATTTAATCTTCAAACTTTAAAAATATATGAATTTAGTCTTTTAAACTAAATTTTATTAAATTTATTTAATGTTTTAAACGTTTTTTTTAAATAACACTGGAATTGTTTATACGATTTATCACATTTTGGTTAATATTATATGAGAAATGTGTTTAAAGCGTTAAATAAACTTAATAAAATTTAGTTAAAAGAACTAAATCAATATATTTCACAAAGACTAAATTTAACAAAAGTTTAAAAAAAAAGACTAATTCTAATTAAAATATATTATAAATATGAGAATGGTTTTATGGATATTTTTATTAAAAAAATTAAACAGGAGATAAATTCTTATAAAAGTATTTAAATAAAAATTAAAAATAAATGAAGTATATAAGCAATAACTATCCCACTGTTGAAAATGGACCTTTCTTCTTACACTTCTATAATTTCAATCCGAAGCTCCATAATTTTTGAAACGTCAACTTTGTCCTTCCATAAATAAATTTAAGCATTGAATAGTGGTGGAATTTAGGTTTAAAAGGATTTGTCATAATGTCCAAATTACAATGTCATGTAAAATTATTACTTAATTTTATTTAAATTAATCGTAAATTTTTTATTTCATCTTAATTTCTAAAAATTATATTCTAATTTAATACATTCTTATCAATATTAATTATTATTTTTAGTTTAAATAATTACTCACTACTTATTATACTATAATAAATAATCACTCATATTTCATTGTAATACAATTTACATTATTTACAGCTTAACTTAAATTACATTTTTACATATAAGAATGAAATGATGATTGTTTCGGCCAGATTTGGATGACCCTGCTAAAACACGTGAGTTTGTCGAAGACCGGGCGGACATTGTTGAATCCCACGAGCCGAAGCAGACCGAGCGACTTCGTCTCTAGGGGACACTAGAAGCTGGCAAAAACCGGACGATTACCTCTTTGCTGAGGGCTGGACACGCTGGGAAGGATCGAACGGGCTCTCTCGTCTTCAAGTCCTGGTTGTAGTATTCGTTCTCTCTCCTCGTTCTCTAAGTCGGGTGGTCGGATACCTGTCAAAAGCACTCCGACGATCAAGTCAGTAATATGACAGAGCGATCTGTAATGCGTGTATATATTTCATCGTAAGCCATCTATCGAGAAATCATACCTGAAACCTTTATTTATACGGATTGTAATGAGCTTTTACCTTTCATGGGCCTGATAACGGCCCAATCATACCTTAATCTTCATTAAGGGCTTTATTCAGTCATTAATGTTTAACCGTGTAGTCGACCTGGGTCGGTTGGGATGGCCGGTCAGAAGGGGTGGTCGGCCAGAGACGTCAACCCGGGTGGGCGACCACTTGGTTCTGCTGATCGGTTAGCTTGGACGCTCGGTTTTGATGGTCGACCCGGATGGGCTACCTTTGGAAGATCGCTCGTTCTATGTATGGTCGGTCTAAGGACAACGTTTGCTTCGACGCTCAGTCCTGATGGTGACCTGGGTGGACGGCCTTGGGACAACCGTTCGATCTGTCTTGGGAGAATCGTTCAATCAGGAGGACCGTACGGTACAATAATTTTACTTATTTTATCAATTAATTATTTGTTTTAATAATTGGCTTTCTTTTCATAAATTTTCATTTCATTTGACTTCAAATCTCACAATCTTTTCCGTAATATATATATATATATATAGATAAAATAAAATTATCAAGTTTTTTTTCTTCTTTTAAATTCACTTCCAAAACAAACACAAACTAAATAACGAAAAATCTCCGATAAGTCCGTAAAGTAAAATTACGAAGTAAAAAGCATCTGAAAATGTGATCTTGAATAAAATAATGGAGAAATTGGAGGAAAGTAGAACTTTAAGTTTAATTATTACATAGTAGTTGCATAGAATTTTCTCACGCGTTGAAATTTTCTAACCTACCTTATAAAACAATATATGCAAATCCAAAATCCACTAACCAAATTAAATGAAAAAAAAAACATTTACATACTTAAACTATTATTATAGTGCATATTAACAACCATCTTATTCAGGTAATAATTTATTTACATAATTGTTGACATTACATTAAACAATTTAACATTCAAATTCATATGTGAAAACAAAAATTACATTAAGTAATTTTTGTGGTTGTTGTGTGAAAACAATCTGTCTCCTTCAAAACGCGTGACATAATTGACTCGTTGATTTGAAAAAAAGATGCCTTTGAATGTCTACATCAATCAGAAGTTTCTATTATTAATACACGAAATATAAAATTCGTACGATAACTGTTAAGGTACATCCAACGGTGACGTAACACGTTTGATTAATATATGTCATTTACGATTAAAAACAACCGTTGACTGACTTTGGGTCGTTTTACAAATTCTACCTTATTATATAAAAAGACTAATTTTACATCTAATAAGAATGAGATTATTCTGTTGATGATTAGTCGTGCTTTCATATCATTTTAAATATAAAAAAAACATCTTTGAGATTGATATTGATAAATAAGATATAAAATATTTATCTACAATATTACTTTTTACTGTTAAAATAGCATTTTTAGGTGTTATACAAATTATTATACAAGGGTATTTGGTTTTCTTTTTTTATTTATGTAAAAATGTTGGATTAAAAATATTTAGACATTTTTTTAGCTAAGAACCTTAAATTTAATTAAAAGAAAGGGAGAAAATAGATTTAAAAAACAATTGAGAAAAGTTTTAAAAATCTTATTATTATTTTCCAATGCTAAGTTAATCCACATTACATGAGGAAATGATTTTTTTAGGATAGATAATTATTTTATTTTTATTATTTTGTTGTTATGGAAAGAAAGAGAGAAAAGTAAGACAAAAGATTGATATGATAAAAAAAAAGCAATAACAAAAAGTTAGGTTAATAAAATAGATAAGATGTAAATTATAAAGAAGATTCTCAGATAAGTTTCTTCTATGTAACTTCTTAAATACTCTAAGGATATTCATGTGTATATATATCCTTTCACAATACCTTACACTTACTCACAACATCACTTGTGATAGAGTCAATATCAGAACACATGGATCATTTGAAGCATCCAAACTCCAAACTTAATCATAATCACTCACTATCCCACAAATTCATCAACAAAATGAAGACTTCAATCCAGTTTCTGCTCTGTTTTTCTCTGTTCTGTGTTTTATTCTCTTCACTTCCTCTGTTCCTTCAATCAGTGAAGCCATTCCTCATGCAGTTCTTCAGCTACATGGTCGAAAAGAGCTACATGTTCCTTCTCTGCAATGGCCTTCTTGCTATAATAGCCATGAACTCTGGTCTCGTTTCTTCCTCTTCACCACCAACCACTCATCACAGTACAGAACACCCTGCAGTAGTTGAAGCAGTTGAAGCAGTTGCTCACACAGAGAAAAACATCCTCCCAGACTCGAATGAATCAGACATTGCTGTTACAGAACCAATTTCAGGAGAGGAAACCGAATCCCCACAAGAAAAAGAAACTATTTTGTTCATTGTAGAACAAGAAAATGTGGTATCATCATCATCGGAAATGCAAGAGGAGGAAAAGGCCCTTGCCATCATTGAAGAAGACGAGCTTGCAGTGGATGACAATGAAGAGTTAAACAGAAAATGTGACGATTTTATTAAAAGGATGAAAGCAACGTTCTCTTCCAATAACTTGGAGCTACGAGCCATGGATGGTTTCTATTTTTCTTATCAGAATTCGCTGGTGACTGTTGTTAATTAAATAGCTAATCTCAGAGTTGATCTTCTTTTGGATTAATGACTTTAACTAACATAATAGAGTGTCATAGGTTTCAAAGTTTTTTTTTTTGCTTCTGGCCGCACATATTTTTGCTTGTAACAATCAAACATGCCCTTCTCTGCATGGTTCTATCAGACTATGTTGTGTGCTCTGTTTTTTGGACAAAGCTCTGTTTTTTGGACAAAGTTTGTTGTATGTTCTGTTATCTGTATTGTGTTTCAATGTGTAATGTCAGAAGGAAGCTATTTAATGAATGTTTACTGATTAACTTCAATAATGTTTCTTCCCAGAATAAACACTGTTTAGGTTTAGACATTCAACTTGAATCCAATGGAATCTGTTCAATCTCAAATTCTTTTATAGGTAAAATTATAATATACTAATAACACACATAAATCCAGTTTAATTATTTTTTTTCTCTTTTAAGATATATAGGAAATTGAACAAAATTTTCCCTTTTAAACATAATTAAACTTATTTTCATGTTTAATTCTAACATATTACAAGTTAATAGTTGTTTTGAATTGAGGGCGAATTGAATTCAAAATGGTACATAGATCAAAAAGCAAGGTTGAATGAAATGAGTACTCGTGGGAAGAATTTTTTAATATACTCAAATAATAAAGTATATTTTAGTTGAAATAAAACAATAATCTGACGCGTGTCAAACGAGTGGTGTACCTTGAAAGATTCTTATGAAAAAATGTTCAGTTCTAATCATCATCTAATTTATCTTCAACGTAGCTTTTATGAAAAAAAAAGGTTTTGTATAAAGTTTAAACTAACAACGATTTTTTCCACGAATTTTCTCATGTTTATTATAGTAATCTTTGGCAGTAATCCGATGATTGCTTACAATGTTCACAAATAATAAAAATAGAATTGAATATGACTTTCTCTTCGTTAATTACATAAATTATGGTATTATAAAATACAACTGTCGTGTCTTGTAATCACACTGAAGTATCTGCTGTCAGAAATATCTATTTTTTCTGCTGTTTTAAAGACTTTCTACAATATATAAAAAAAGTTTTTTATTATTTTATAGAAACTAAAAATCAGAAAGAAATATGATGTTATTAAATATTCATTGCCAAAAAATACATATATTTTTTATTTCAATATCAAATAAAAGACATTACAAAAGAGTATTGACTAGGATGTCACAGAGTGAAGAAGGGACATAGTAGTTTCTTTCACCGAACAACGTTTATAAATATTGAAAATTCAAACGTTGTGTTTCTGAACTTACCCTACTAATTTGACACGGTCTTTTTCGTTGCCAAAGAAAACACCAAGCAATTCTTTACTTGACCTGTCTCATTAAGTCTTCTCAGAACAAACAAAATCAGTCTTCTCAGAACCTGTTTTTCCGCAAAATCAATTCAACTTTTACGAATGCTGGCCTACGCTGTTCTTCATTTTACACATAATATAAAAATAAAATAAATATAAAAAATAATTTTTTGTATTTTTAGAAGAAAAAAATTAGGCATAATACCCAATTTTGTCCCCACTTTGGTTCGGAAATCTCAAGTTAGTCCCTTTATAGAAAAGTGAGTTTAATGGATCCTTACTTGTAATTAATTGACTCTAATGAGTCCCTTCCATTAAATAGAAGGAAACAGAGTTAGTGGACTGATGATGTGGCAGTTGTCTTTGGTGAGGTGTCAATACGCAATTGACATAGTGCTTACGTGGTGTTAGGGTTCCCCATTTTCAAATTGGGTATTATGCCTATTAAAAATTGGGGATAAAGGATTTGGGGCTCATTTGTTCGAGACTAGGGCATGTCCGAGAAAGAAGACAGAGGCAGGCAGTGATCGTTGTCGCTTCCGGAGCAGTGGTGGTTCGCGGTTGGCGACTTCTTCTTCGTTGTCAGTGGTTGTCTCTGTTTGGGGTTCGTTCTTTCGGGTTCGCTGTTTGGGGTTCGCAATGTCTTCGAATCACGGTTGTTCGTCTTGCTCATGGGGGAGCTGTCGCGGTGGTTCATCCAGAGGATTAGTTGGAAGCCAAATATGCCACTGTGGGGAGGCTGCTGTGTTGAGAGTGGCAAAAACAATTAAGAACGAGGGGAAACAATTCTGGGGCTGCCCTAACTACAAGCGGACAAGAAATGAAGAACTTCAAGGATGCAATTTCTTTAAATGGCTTAGTGAAGATTGCGTAGATGATACTGTTGGTACTATTGCAAGGCAAAGGAGGAAGATTAATAGTCTGGAGAAATGTGTTAGGGAATGTCAAAAAAGGGAGAAGATGTTAATAACAATGATATGTTTTCTGGGATTGATTAATATCATTGTTGTATGTATTTTGTTTAAAAGTCCATGATGTGTTCTGTTAGATAGTTTATGTAAGAGCACTTTGGACAAATTGTAATATGATGTTATCAAATTAAGGTGAAATTTGAATTCAAGGTTCTGAAATTATGGTTTGAATTGAAGGTTCTGTTAGATAGTTTGAATTTACAATAAAATGAGGAAGTGGCTTCTGTAATCCAAAAAGATAAATGTGTATAAGAAGTTCGTTTTTAGACAAGAAGAAGTACACTTTCAGTGTTTGTAATAGTACTTCTGTAATCCAAAAAAAGAGTTATGTAACAGGTACAACACACTTTCAGTGTTTGTAATATAATTGAAGAAGAAATTGATATGCCAAAATCTGTGAACAAAATATAAATATAAATTGAATCCAAAAAGCTGTGATCGTTGTCGCTTCCATTTGTTCAGGACGGTCGTCCTCGCTCCGCTCGTTCGGTCCTCGCTCCGCTCGTTCGGTCCTGCTGCTCCTACTCGCTCAGGACGGTCGTCCTCGCCCCTTGTTGCCTCCACTTGCTCAGGACGCTCGTCCATGCTCCGCTCGCTCATGACGCTCGTCCTTTCCCATCGTTGCCCCGCTCGCTGGGGACGCTCGTCCTCGCTCCGCTCGCTGATGACGCTCGTCCTCACCCCTCGTTGCCCCGCTCGCTCGGCTCCCACTTGCTTAGGACGTTCGTCCTCGCTCCTCCTTATCTCTACTTGGTCAGAACGCTCGTCCGCTACCGTATGGTTCCCTTCTCGCTCAGGACGCTCGTCCTCCACCGTACGGTTCCCTTCCCTATCCCTCCTATATCTTCTTCTCTCATACACTCGCCAGGTCGTAACAGCAAAGGTCCAAACAGCATGCATAATTACATCATAATGAAAACAAAAGCTGTCATAATTACATCATAATGAAACCAAGTAGATGTCTGTCATTACAAAATACATGTCTGTGATTACAAAATACCCATCACTTAAGCTAAACATACTGTCAGTTTTAAACATACATGTCTGTGATTACAAAATTCCTAAATCAGTTTTAAACTTGTGTTGTAGATGCCTGAGTAAGTTGACTTGGTCCAGTAATTGGCTGACTTTGTTGAGCTTGGGTTGCAGGTTGCTCACTTGATTGATATTCAGTTTGGTTTGCTGGAGGAGCTTGTGGACAAGTATTTCTTTTATGACCAACCTGTCTACATATGGAACATCTCTTACGAGTTCCATTTTGCTTCAGTTGTGTGTCATCCTTCTTTAGCTCCCAAGCCTCTAGCCTTCTCTTCTTCTTTGGTCTACCAGGCAAGACTCTTTTAGTTGGAGGCAACACATCAGGCTGAGAAGTTGTTTCCCATAGCTGAGGACCATTGACAGGGTAGATGATTGGAATGTATGTTTCTTGGTAGGTTGACTTTGTAAACCAATGTGGCACGTAGTCTTCTCCATTGATGTTGATAAATGTCATGGCAGCTAGTGCATGACAGCATGGGATAGCTGTTAAAGTCCACTTTCTGCAACTGCATTCCAGTTTATCAATGTCAACGACATACTTGTCACTCATCATTGAAATGTGTCTGACCTCAAAAATTTTCTCTCCAGACCAACTGCAAATTTTTAAAAGAGAAATCAGTGTTTAAAAGAGAAATCAGTGAAATGGTAATGTGCAGTGAAATCAATGACATCAGTGTTTAAAAGAGAAATCAGAGAAATCAGTGAAATCAACATACCTAGGTATCCAGTATTTTGTCAGGTGCAGTTCCTTGTCAAATCTTTTCTTAATCTTTGGACAAATACTACCTTCATATGTGGATATTTTGTTTCTATTTGTTGCCCATCTCTTCATGAGGTACAGACGAATGTCTTCCATCATTGTGATGATGGGCTTACCTCTTGCATGTAAAATTACACTATTAAATGCTTCAGACATGTTATTCACTAAGGTGTCACAAACAGCATTACTTGTAAACCTTGACCGTGACCAAAATCTACTTACACAAATAACAAGTGCAAAATATCAGCTATGAAAACAAACAACAATTAATAGGAGCAATGAATTTTAAAGGCATGTGGATTGGCATACCTTGGTGGGATGGCTAATAAGTATTTAAAGGCGTCTGGATTCACCCCTTTAATTTCTCTCATCACTGCTTCCCATGTTTGAGGGTGTGTTGATGCTGCTGCCTTCCATAGTAGACGTTTTAGAATCTGGCCAGGAAACCTCTTCCTGAAATTAGCATAGATGTGCCTCACACAAAACCTTTGCTCCACACCAGGGAGAAGTTCTTGTAAGGCTGGTAAAAGTCCCTATTCACATGAAGCTATACAAGTTAATATAAAACACATGAAGGTTTAAAACATAAAAAAAGATGGCAATGGTAATAAGTTACTAACTTTTTGTTGATCTGACATAAATGTGATGGTTGAAGAAATCTCCACACCACCAAGATCATCAATGAGAAAATGTAGAAACCAACTCCAAGTGTCCTTATTCTCCACTTCCACAACAGCATATGCCAAAGGACACATTTGGTCATTCCCATCTCTTGCTACTGCAGTTAACAACTCACCTCCAAATTTTCCTTTTAAGAAACAACCATCCAAACCTATAATCTTCCTACATGACACGAAGCTGTCCTTACAGGCCTTCAAACACACATATAGTCTCTTGAAAATTGGAGTGTCCTCACTGACCTCAACATGAACTTTCACAGTTGAACCAGGATTTGACCGAAGCAACTCATTGGCATAGTCATACACTCTTCTATATTGTTCTTTAAAATCACCTTCTATTTGTTTGGATGCCATTGATTTTGCCCTACAGGTTGTGGACCGTGAAACACCAATGTTCCACTTCTTAGAAACTTTGTTATGGAGGTTATACAGATTAATATTTGGATTGTCTTTCATAGTCTTCTCTAACCTCCCACTCAACCATTTTGAAGTCATTAGACGGATGTTAAATTCTCTACTGCAAGTGTGGTTGTCTACTATTTTCCTTAGCTGCCATGTATTTTCAGCTGCCTTATATGCACAATATGCATTCCAAGGACATTTCCCTTTTGCCCCACAACATCTGACACGCACTCTTCTTTTGTCATTTTTATAAACCTTTAATTTTCTACCATTCTCTACTCCATAGGTTCTTATAGCTTCTGTAAATTCTTTTTTGTCACTGAAGTACGTGCCCACTTCCCATTTATATTGTTCCATAGTTTTGGGCATTGAAAAAACACCAAAATCCCCATGGTCATCCCTGTCATCATCTGTGTTATCACTTTCCACAACACTCTTCAAACTGTCGGATTCCCAATCACTGTCAGATAAACCCCTAGGTCCACCAAATTCAACTTCATTAGTACCTTCAAATATATCAAATCCCACTACATCTCCATGGTCAATCAATACATCCTCTTCGGACCCATTCCAACTGCTAACATCATACTCATCAGTTTCTACTCCATTACCCTCTACCTCACCCTCTACTTCTGCCTGCCCCTCCACATCAGACTGGACGTCTACATTCACACCATTTCCCTCTACTTCAACCTCTGCCTCCACACCAACATCCTCTACCTCAACCTGTGCCTCCACACCAACATCCTGTACCTCAACCTCTGCCTCCGCACCAACATCCTCCACTGCATCCTCCACACCAACATCCTCCACACCAACATCCTCCACTGCATCATCCACACCAACATCCTCTACCATACCCTCTATATCAGCCAGTACATCAACCTCAACTTCTATCATTTCTGGATGAACTTCTGATTCAGGTTCTACCTCAGGTGCTATTGTCTGAACCTCTGCTTCACCCACTGCCTCAACATCTGCTACACCAATCTCCATCTGAACTTCCTTTTCAGCACTCTCTCTCTCAACTTCTCCTTCAACACTAGGTCTATCAACTTGCAAATCAGCACTCTCTCTCTCAACTTCTCCTTCATCACTAGGTCTATGAACTTCCAAATCAGCACTCTCTCTCTCAACTTCTCCTTCAACACTAGGTCTATCAATTTGGGGTTCAGATATGCATTCCAACTGTAGAAGATACTCAGGTTCACACACCCTATGTATAACATAGAGGTGAGCTTCACCATTCAACATAGCAATATTAATCAGATGACAAGCACCCTTGTCATCTAATAAAGGTTCCAAACAATCTTCTAATACAGGACCACGACCCAATGAATACCATAAGTCCTTTACATTCCTATAACCCATCTCCTTTAGAATGCTTAATATTTCAAAATAACTCCATCGATCAGGGTCTATTTTTATAGTTGTGGTTTGACCATAGTGATATCCAAATGTCCCATTATTCTCAAATTTCCCCCCATGGTGAAACACGACTTCAATGCGTGAGTTGGCCATATTATCTAATATAAAATTGGTCACAGTTAGTTAATCTATGCTTAACCCTTAACCCAAATGATATCTAAGCAAAAAACAAAGCATAAACATACTACTGTACAGACCATAAACAACTCAAACAAAACAAAACCACATTTATGACATTAAATAAAGCAAATGCCACAACACAGTACCACACACTATGAAGGGGGACCACAACGACAACGTCGCAACAGAAACAAAGCAAATGCACTGACAATGGGGCACACAACACAGACAAACCATAAAATAAATCAAAACTTCTGGGGGGACCACAACGAAAGCAACGAAACACAGAACAAAACCTACCATAAACGCACCTTCGAAAGTCGCTTTTCCTTATTTACCCCACCAATGGTCGTCCACTCACAAATGCTTTGTCTAAAAGTTCTTACGAGTTCCCGCGATCACTTCTAATCTCGAAACACTGCCTGCCTCTGTCTTCTTTCTCGGACATGCCCTAGTCTCGAACAAATGAGCCCCAAATCCTTTATCCCCAATTTTTAATAGGCATAATACCCAATTTGAAAATGGGGAACCCTAACACCACGTAAGCACTATGTCAATTGCGTATTGACACCTCACCAAAGACAACTGCCACATCATCAGTCCACTAACTCTGTTTCCTTCTATTTAACGGAAGGGACTCATTAGAGTCAATTAATTACAAGTAAGGATCCATTAAACTCACTTTTCTATAAAGGGACTAACTTGAGATTTCCGAACCAAAGTGGGGACAAAATTGGGTATTATGCCAAAAAATTAAAAATAAGAAATTGTTACCATAGGGTAGACCCGTCCAACAAGACACGACAGCATACCAAGTCCAATGGACCGAATGATCGGGTGTAAAATGACTTAGAAGTCATTTGGTGATGACAACAGTTGAACAGAAATAAAGCACAATCAATGTGGTACCGACTATTGATGATTGTATTAATGATCATTAAAAGGTAAATTAATTGGTCAAATTCTTATTAACTTTATAAATAGGTTGTTGGGAATCATACATTGATTAGAGATAAGGCCAATTCATAGTATATAAGTGGGTGCAAACCTTACTTAACAAGCCATTTTGTGGAGTTGAGTTAGGCTTAAAGTCCATTTTTTAACATGGTATCAGAGCCATGGTTTGGAGCCTATCGTTATTTGTTGGACACATTGTTTCACCTGTTATCGAACCACCCATTAATGTCTATTCTGACTCAATTCATAGTATATAAGTGGGTGCAAGGTAATGTTTTAGGTTTAGATAATCGCATTGCTTTAGACCTCCAAAAAAAACTTTTGACTTGCGTCGGAGTATATTTTGTAAGTCACCCTCTATATACGAATCGATTACCAAAATTGAGAGAGAAGCAAACCTTCCACAAAGACAAAAATAGCATATAAGCAGTATGCTCATCCTAATTCAACATAAACATAAATGATAGTATCATATAAATGTAAAATTTTGTTATCAAATGGTTATTTTTAGTCTCAAATAATCTTTTTCTATCTTAGTAGAGCCACCAGCATAACGTGCACATCGCTCTCAACTTCAACTCGTTTTGTTTTGAAGATAAACCTTTTTCAAGCCACGTTGATATACAAAAATAAAAACGCAAAAGATGGAAAATAACAATAATTTATCAAAAGCAGCAAAATACTGTGTGATGGACAAAGATATCCATAAAGGTTTAATGTCTCAATAGGTCCCTATTTTTGTTCAGAATTTGAAATAGGTCCCTTTATTTTTTGGCGTCTCAATTGGGTCCTTATTTTTGTTAATTTGATGCAAATAAATCCTTTCCGTCAATTTCATCAAACGACGTTAATGAATGTGTGACGTGGCCTTACACGTGTCAATACTGTCCTCAGGTCACGTCACACATTCATTAACGCCGTTTGATGAAATTAACGGAAAGGATTTATTTGCATCAAATTAACAAAAATAAGGACCCAATTGAGACGCCAAAAAATAAAGGGACCTATTTCAAATTCTGAACAAAAATAGGGACCTATTGAGACATTAAACCTT